CCTTACACATCCACGGATCGTTATGATCGTCCAGTGCCATCTTTTGCGCATAATGATCAAGATGCCGGGAGGGGTCTCCTGCCCCATCGAACTGGGTGAAGGATGGCATAGTGAACTTCTTCGGCCTCTCCACAAGGTACACCTCGTCCGTAAAGGGGGTCTTGACCAAGGAATTCTTGTGCTCTCTAGCCATCTCGGCTGGTGTCTGGACTCTCAAGAGCTTCTTTTCGTCGAAGGCATCTTGTACACGTGCGCCATCCAGAACGCCATTGGACCATACCGTAAGCCTATGGCTGGACTCGGCCTGTTCGTCCTGAGTGCGATGCGGGAGATTATCCGAAGCAACCGCCTCGGACCTCGTCCCTTGCTTTTGCTGAACCTCACTAGGTCGAGCCCCGTTGGGTGGTGTCTCGTTGGCTGGAGGCTCGTGAACCGGAGGTAAATTCCGGGTGGGAGGTGGTGCCGCTGCATCGCCTGGTGGTGGTTGTGGCGTTAGCCTGGCCATGGCCGTGTGCAGTGTATGAGTCTGCTGCTGAAGCGTAGCTATCTGGGCGACACTCGTATCGTTCGCTTGCCGGAGTGTCTCAAATTGGTGCAAGAACTCTTCTCGCATCTTTTGCATCAATTCTATCTGTTGATTCATTACTGACTCTCCGTTTGACATTCCAGACACGATTAAAGGAAGAACAAGTGGGAGTATATTTCTATACGGTTCCCACAGACGGCGCCAAAATGTAGGTGCAAAATTTCGCTCAACCGATAATGGCTGAGAAAAATAAAGCAACTCACTCAAAAATAATAAAAATAAATAAGAACAATGTGTAGAGAAGTGTGGAATTGCTTGATCCTTTATTGGAGGTCTTAGCCTCTATTTATATACAAAAGATTGCGAAATTATGGTAGGACTCGCGTTGCTTGCCCTCCAATTCTTTCTATATCACCATACTTTTCTAATAGAGTTCTTTCCATTGTTGAATTTTCCATACATAGAACTTGCCTTGTACAGAACTTTCTATCCGAATTTTCCTTCTACGGTAAATCCTTCAAATGGTAGGATTTGTGCATTCTTGGGCTGGATATATTTTGATCCGGCTGGGCTTGGGTAACAGGCCGGATGTTAAATACTCATATCTGGGCTGACGACAAGCTGGGCTGATGGCTTCTTGAGTCGGCCTTGATGGAATGGTCTTGGGCTGTAAATACCCTCAACTTGGGCTTGAGCATGATGGGCCTTATATGTCCTTGGCCTGTAGATATGGGTAGTGATGACGTGTGCGTTTTCTATTGGAGGGAGTTTTTTTCCCTCCACAGGTATCAACATCCAAGCCCAGAGTAAACCCGTTTAAAAACCCATAATAGATTATTGCAGGCTCTCCTTCGAGTGTGGAGGGCATATATGACCTATTGTTTTAAGGGCAAATAACACAAAAGACCCTTCAGGTTTTTAATTTGTACACATAGATAGAAGATGGTCATAATATAACAGAAAGGTCCAAATTAACTGTTTGTGGTTAGTAGTTTGATATGAATTTACATTTTTGTCCTTAGAATTAAACTATTTGTTTAATTAAAAAATATATATAAAAAAAATTGTGCATTATTAAAAAAAATAAAAGATAATCATTTGTGGCTCAAATCCAACCACAAACCATAGAGCCAAATCCAACCACAGAACCACATCAATCCTCTGTTCTCTCTCTAATCTAATCATGCATTTCCAAGGAGATGAAGAAGTTGGGATGACGCCGAGCCAAGTCACTGGAAAATCATCCATGTTCCGGTACAATTCGCACCTTGTTCAGGTGGGTCTTATCAGACTGGTGTGTTTCTGTTGCCCTGGCTTGTTCAATGCCTTATTGGGTATAGGCCCCTTGCAGATGTTGGGACTGTGCTTTACCGGTGATGACCCAAGCGGGTCTGTACTGCCGACGGCAAGAGAACTTACCGGCTATCAAGGATTTTACGGCAATGGAACTTACCGGGTTGGTAGCGGCGAACTTAGAACAACTAAATGGTCAGCAAAGATGACGAGAACGCCGATGATGGTGACCGTCAGTGTGCTTGGATGACAGCCGATGATGGTGATCGATGATGGCAAGTACGACAGTTGCGGCGACGGATAGCGATTAACGACGATGGGCAAGGATGAACGGCTGAAGGAGAGCTCGGAACGAAGCTTACCGTCGAGGCGCGGGAACGACAGCGAGCAAGGTGTTCTCGGTAGTGAAACGGAACGACGAGGACTACGGCGAGGATGGCGGGTACAGTGGGCACTCTTAAATTGGGAGAGAAGGGAAATTGATGGGAACGAAAACCATAGAAGTAATGGAGAGGGAACAAATTGGGGACCTTGGAGAAGAATGTGTTGGATTCGAAGGAGGAAGAATCCAAGGGAGGAATTAGGGAATCGCGGGAATGATGATGATCTTCTTCTTCTTCTTCTTGAGGGATTTTGGGTTGAGATTTGAGGTTTCTCAGTAAGAAAAAGCCGACGAGTGTTGCCGAGAGAAAGATCAGAATCATTCTTAGCGGGCACATTTTCTCTCTCTACAGCTCAAAATCATTCCAGAAGAGAAACACAATTTTTTTTAGGGTTAATTACAATAACACCCCTTGAGGTTTGCTACAATGACAGCCATATACAAGTTGGGCCTATTTTGAACAATGACACCCCTTTACATTTGATAAAGTTAACAAAAACACCCCAATAGTCAGCTGCAAGATCTGACACATAGTGAAATGACTTTATTACCCTTTGACTTATTAGTTACCCTATTTAAATAACATAATTACATTTTTAACCTTCACACCCACCATTCCAGGCCACCACCACCCACCACTACCACTCCACAGCTCATATTAAGAGAGAATGAACACACGGATAAATATATGTATATATATAATATATATATATATTAATATATATTACAATAATAAAAATCATGTAATTGGTGCGTGTGTTTATGTATATATTATTTTGATAGTATGTATCTGTTTATGATTCCAATAGGGGTGTTTAGAAAAGTAAAGGTGAACTAATTACAATCCGGGTGTTGAAGGATTGATTTAGACAAGGAAAGTTGAAAAATCGGTTTGTGATTGTAATTAGGGTGTTGAAGGATTGATTTAGAAAAGGAAAGTTGAACAATTGGGTGTGTTTGTGTGTAATATATGTATTGATGTGTATATATAGAGAGAGATAATCATTATTTTCTATATATACAGATAATATAAAATCTCACATAAATTCTTTTTTTTCCTAAATAAATTCCTTTTTTAACTTTCCTTTTCTCCTAAATAAATTCCTTTTTTCTTTCCCTACAACACCGATTGCTAACACACATACATAAAGAATCCATACACAAATATACATACACAATGAAGGGCTGATGATAATCAATTAAGAATCTTGAAACACCGGGAAAGCACCGTCGACCCAAGTTTCAAGAAACAGAGAAGAAAAGAGAACAAACAGAGAAGCAACCCTCCGCCGCGGTCCACGAAGCCACAAATCAATCTAATGTTTTCACAAAATTCTACAAACCCTAGTCCAATGTAACTTCCATCGTCGCGATCCACTTCCTTCTCATACCACCCATAGCACAGATCAACCATGGTAGTGGTGAAGAGATGCAGGTTTCATTTTTGCAGAACTTAGAGAGAGAAGAACGGATGCATACGCCTTGTTTGGGAAAGAAAGGATGAATATCCAATAGGGTAAGCTTCACTGAAGGGCAAAAATGACTTTTCATGAGTTTTAATTTTTCACAATGAAAATGAATAAAATATTCATAGGCAATTTCGTCTTTTTAAACATTTTAAGGGCTGTTTGGATCCAAATTCTGACAGGGAGTCTCATTGTTCAAAAAACGCTTAACTTGTATATGATTGACATTATGGCAAACCTCTGGGGGTGTCATTGTAATTAACCCTTTTTTAAAATATTTTTTTATCAAACAAATAATTTAATTCTAAGGACAAAAATGTAAATTCAGTAACCACAAATAGTTAATTTAGAGCTTTCTGTTATATTGTGGCCCTTTTCAATCTATGTGTACAAATTGAAAACTTGGGGTCTTTTGTATAATTTGCCCTTGTTTTAACTATTGGTTGCATATTGATTTTATCCACTCTCGCTAGGGTTTGCTCACTCTCCCACTAGATGATCAGTTTATGACTTTTTTATTAACTCAATCTGGGCTGACTCACAACATTTAACATCATTTTCTGAATCACTCTCGCTAGGGTTTGCTCACTCTCCCACTAGGGTTTTCTCTGAAACTTGTGGAAGATCGAGCACGGGACAGTGGCTAACATTCAGATCGCTCAACACTATGGCTTTTAGATCCTGTTAGTCTATATCGCCCATGTTTCATTTCATATACAACACTCTCATATATCACAGAATCTATCATAATACACCCACAATTGTTCATTTTTTTCAAACCCAATCAGTACCAAACAACTCAGATTTCACCCTGAAACAAACTCTTACGATCTCTTACCTCACAAAGTCATGTGGGTTGTCTCTAAAATCTGCTATCTCAGTTTCTAAGAAGGTCGAAATTGAGAGCACAAAGAAACCGGATTCGGTTCTTGAGCTCCTAAGGTCGCATGGCTTCACTGAAAATCACATTTCACGCCTAATTTTCAAGCACCCACCACTGCTTTTGGCTGATCCAGAGCAAACTTTGGGACCCAAAATTGAGTACTTTGAATCTTTGGGTATTGTAGGACCTGACTTGCCTAAGATTATTTATTCAAGTGACGTATTAGGTAGTAGTTTAGAAAACAAAATTAAACCCATGATTAATTTCCTTAAAAGATACATAGGGACAAATGAGAATTTAGTTTATCTTCTTAAGATATCTACCTCTAGCCGTATGGTTAGGTGCAGCATTGAAAAAGTTATGGTGCCAAACATCTACACCTTGTAAGCTCATGGTGTGCCTGAATCCCATATTGGAGACTTGATCTTGTGGCAGCCTAGAACAATAACGATGAGAGTTGATGTGTTTAAAGAGGTTACTGATGCAGTTAAGGAAATGGGTTTTGATCCCAAAACTCATTCATACATATTGTGTGTCAGTTCAATGTTGGGAATTAGCAAACCCAATTGGATGAAGAAGAAGGAAGCTTATATGAGCTTTGGTTGGTCTGAAAGCGAATTTTACTTGGCAGTCAAATTGCAACCAGCGTGTATGCTTCCCTCAAAGAAGAAGATCAGGGGACTGATGGATTTCTTCGTAAACAAGGCGGGCTTAAGAGCATCACAGATTGCTAAATGCCCACATCTTTTTCTTATTAGTTTGGAAAGTAGAATAATTCCAAGGTGTTCAGTTCTACAAGTTTTGATGTCAAAGGGTTTGATTGGGAAGGATGTAGATTTGGTTTCAGTGTTGAATTGTAACAAAAAGTATTTTGAGACCAGGCTTCTGACCAAGTATAAGGAGGTAGCTCCTGAGGTAGTCAAAGCGTATACTTATCAAAAAAAAAAAAAAAAAAGGTAGTCAAAGCGTACGAGGGTGAGATAGGATTTCAAGAATTCAATATTGGATTATAGGACAATGTGGAATCAGAGAAGCGAGTAACTGCTAGATATGCTGGCAACAGCAGACGACTAACAATATGGTGTATTTGAGTTTCTATTAGAATGATTTGGCTGCATTTAAGGTATGCCATCTTAGGAGTAATTCTCTAATCAGTTCAATGAGGTTTTTTGGTGGCTGATACAGTATGAGAAAAGGTTAGATTGTCTTGTATATTTTGCAAATCACATCAGCTTTCTTTGTTGACTTTGTCACGTCTCGGAAGATTTCATAATTATGTTTCTCATCTGTAATGTTTTGAAATATGCTCTAATTTTTAAAATTTTGACAACCGGAAGATTTGCTTCATAGTTCCATTTGAGTGGCTATATCTTTTAATTATTAGTTCTTTTCTAGGTCTGCAAAATACTCATGTGGTGGTTGCAATGTTGGTTTATGTATTTATATAGTATTTACACTGATATGGTGGATTCCCTTGTTTTACCAGTAAGAGGACTTATTATTTCGATGCATAGTTGTTAAAGGCACGCCTAGACTCCAAAAAAGCCCCAGGCTTGTCATGGCTAAACTAAAGCACCTCAACCTAGTACACGTTAGGCCTCTTCAATAAGGCTCTTATAAAGCCCTAAAGCTCACACTTTTTAATTGGCTTCAATCTCAAAAAAGGGAGCGCCTTGTATTTTTTAATCATTTATTTATATCGTTTTCTTTTTTAATTAATGACTATTAAATTAAAATATTCTACATCATATATGGTATTGTTTAACCTTAGGATTTGGTTCATGGATGTAAAGTCATTCTTTATTATATATTCTAAAGGCCTTACCCAGTGTATCTCCTATTTACACACACTGCTTGGTTTTTACACTTATTAGTAAAAACTTTAGGTGCTCTTGGATATCTCTAAAGATAGCAAGACAACTAGAATTGTGGGGAGATGCTTTAGAATAAAAAAGATTGAAAATTAGTTGAGCTAAAAACGAGTATTGGAGTGCAAATTTAATAAAGACTCGGACATTGATAATGTAATGATAACACTTCAAAACCAAATAATTACTCAAAACTATCACTTTCATCATCTAGGACTGATAATACATCAATACAAGAGGATGGAGAGATGGATAAAGATATAACTAGTAGGATTGGAGCTAGATGGACAAAATGGAAAGAAACTAGTGGTAGTGGGATTTTATGAGATAAAAGAATAACATATAGGCTAAAGGAAAAAAAATCTATAGGACCATTATTAGACCAATTATGTAACATAGAGCGTAGTGTAGGGCCATAAAAAAGAAACAGAAACAACGCCTTCATGTAGTGGAAAATGAGAATGTTAAAATGGATGAGTGGTGTGCCTAGAAGAGATAGGGTCACTAATGAGAGTGTGAGAAGAAAATTAGGTGTAGCACCCATTGGTGAGAAAGTTAGAGAGAGAAGACTTAGATGGTTTGGACACATACATCGGAGATCTAGAGATGCGTCAGTCAAATAAGGAAGACTAGTTGTAATAAAGGTAAGAGATGAAGGGAGTGGCCAAAATATCTGTTTCTATCTCTAAGTACGATTAGTTCCTTTGGGACTTATTATTCAGCGCTTATTATATTTGGCAGGGGAGAAAATTTAATTATGGCGAACTATTTTGTTCTTGTAGTAATATTCCCTTATTTTCTAGGTCTCAAATTGTATAGAATGGTAATAGGGAGAAGATAGAACAGTTTTTATAGAAGTGCATGTTTGCATGACTAAAGACATGGACACAAAAAGCCTTTTCCTTCATTTTTGGAGTTTTTGGTAAGGATTGATCAGGAAGAGTTATAACTTGTATTGTAATGTTAAGAGGACTAGACAAAAAAAAAAAAAAAAAAAAAAAAAAAAAAAAAAAAAAAAAAAAATCCTTAATAAGGATGTTCATTCGGACAAGTTGAACAAATAACATGCCTTTATTTATGTAACATCATTCCAGAATATTGTTGAGTGATGAGATTCCTAATTTATATGATGTTTTTGATCCACCTACCTTGGCCATCATGAAGTTGCTGACAAATCCGACGACTATTAAAATTTAATTTAATTTAATTTTTAATTTAATTTTTATTATTATTATTTTTTTCTAAGATTTAAATCATTATACTTTTTTTTACTGGTTTAGGTTTTTTCTTAGACAATGTGTAATTATTTCTTAGGTTCTATGTGCAATTAGATATATATGCAGAAAAAGAGATTACTGATTGATTATGAGTAATCTTGGTCCAGAGTTTAGTTTTTGGTGTGATCGTTCTTCTACCATGTAGTCAGATGTAATTTTATGAGGGCAATTTCTTTCGTGGAGGCAATGATCAATAAGCATGAGAAATGGCCTTGAAATATACATATATATGGAATATACATAAAAAGTCATGATATGCACAAATCTGTATGCCCATTGCAGCCTTTGATTATCATATTAATGCCTGTTGGGAATGCAAGAGCAGTTAAGTACACCCTTTTAATGCTTCGCATCAGATTAAACACAATTGTCATCCACAAATGCAAATAAGAATTTTGAAGCATGGATAGCAATCGTGGTGTAACGGATTTGGACGTATATTGGTGTAAACTGGTTAATTCAAGGAGGTGTATAATGGCATCGGAATCTGAAAGAGGATTACGACGTATCGGTCGATACGGTGAACCATATTTTGAACCAATAGACTGTAATCTTAAAGTACTAACAGTGCTTCCACTTCGCCTGTTTACTAATAGGAATGATTCCTGATTTTTACTGTCAATTCCTAAAATTGAGAATCAAAAGTAAAAATTATGTTTAATAAAATACTTTCACTTTTTTATTTCAAGAAAGTACTTTCTAATTTTGTGAAGGGAAGAGAAAGTGAGGATTTCTCACTTTCTCTATTTTCTACACTGTTCATAGAAATTACTTTCTGTACTGTAACATTATTTAAAAAAAAAAAAAGAAAAAAGAAAAAAAAGAAAAGCTCTCACTCTTCCTCTTTGCTTCTCGATTCTTCACACTATAACAATGGTGAGAGGCTCATCTCAATCCCAATCATCATCCTCGTCAACCACCAGACCCAATCCTGTCGGCATGACACCTCCGCGGCGGACACAAGATCTCTTCCACCGTCGTCCGCGACATGAGCCTCTGCTTCATCGGCTTCGTCACCGCCCTCCACGTCTCCGGCAAGCTCTACCGCTACCGATCTGGTGCCGGAGGTTAGTTTTCCGGATTTTAATCAACCGAATCAGGATCATCTGTCGGATTCTTCATGATTAGTAATTGAAATGCCACGAAAAATCGTCATAGTATATATATATATATATATATATACATACTCTAAAAGTAGCAGATTTCAACTGGAAATGAAAAGGTCTCGTGAAGACAGGTGTCTTAAAAAAAACGAATTCTTGACTAAGCTCAATTCAGAGTTTTGGTAATGCGATTCCACCAATTCAATTAAGGAAGAGCTTTGCCTCTTACCTATATATATACACACACACACACACACACACACACAGTATATAACATTGATTGTCAATTTAGAAAACAAAATCAAAATTATAATTATTATACTTACTTTCTAATTTCTTACTTTGAAAATATTGAAAGCATAAAAAATTAGTAAACATAATTCTACTTTATATTTCAGCTTCAGAAATGAAAAGCATGATTTTACTTCGGGAGAAAGCAAAAATAAGAAAGTGAAAACGTTAGTACACGGGCTAATTTAATAGTATATGAATGAATAGATGGGTTAGCATGCATAGGACTAATTAGTCATAATGAAATCAAACACATAGGGAGGCATAATTGTTAAAGGCTCAAGGCCCACTAAGGTGCCAAAGGCCTTATGGAGGCTAATGTCACGGGGCCTAGAGATTTGGCGCAGCGGCACGGCCCGTGCAGCACCAAGGCGTTGCTTCAGCTCGCGCAAGCGCCGTGGTCAGCCACCATGACCTGCCATCCTAAGGATACATGTTGATTGGTTTTGACCTGCCTTGGTCTTATCAGGGGAACGACTCTAGCTCCCGAACAGTTTGTGTAGGGATGACCAACTCCCTTCTCAATAGTCAAGTCCACGACCAGCGACAAGCTCCTCGCACTTAACCGAGTCGACCTGCCTGAACGCTGAAGAGGTACCATCCTGTGCTCTTGCACGCCCCTTCCCTAGAACCATTCCCAGTCAAACTCTGCTCTTTGCCAACCAGCATGCGTGTCTTCCATGCTCTAAGTGTCTTAGGAATCACTTCGTGACACTCTCCCCCACCCAAATCTTGCGACGCCCTTGTCGCAATGCGGCGCTTCACTACTGCGTGCACTCCCTTCCAAAGTCTGCCTCCAAGCAGTATACTCGCCTTCCCACCATCGCTTCCTTGTGTAGTTCCCTGCACTGCACTAGCCCAATGACGTGACTCTTCTCCGTCATGCCGCCTCCGCGACATCCCGAGCAAGCAAGGGCCTCTTGCCGACTTGATGCTCGCCCTTCACCACGGTTCGAACTTTGGTGCGCGCGGCCCTCCGGTGCGCAACTTCAACAGATGCCTCTTCCTAGGGAGATGGAGGCTCTCCCCCCCAACTGCATTGATTCCTCCTCATCGACGCAACTTCAGTGCACCGTCTTCATTCTCAGACCCCTCCTGGATCGACAAGGGGGCACCCCACTGTGCTTTACCCCAAGTCCTGCTCTGATACCATTAGTCACGGGCCTAGAGATTTGGCGCAGTGGCACGGCCCGTGCGGAACCAAGGCGTTGCTTCAGCTCGCGCAAGTGCCCTGGTCAGCCACCACGACCTGCCCTCCCAAGGATACATGCTGACTGGTTTCGACCTGGCTTGGTCTCATTAGGGGAACGGCTCCAGCTCTAGACCAGTTTGTGCAAAGATGGCCAACTCCCTTCTTCATAGTCAAGTCCACGATCAGCGACAAGCTCCTCGCACTCAACCGAGTCGACCTACCTGAACTCTAAAGAGGTACCATCCTGTGCTTTTGCACGCCCCTTCCCTTGAACCATTCCCAGTCAAACTCTGCTTTTTGCCAACCAGCATGCGTGTCTTCCATCCTCCAAGCGTCTTAGGAATCACTTCGTGACACTAAGCACAAGGCGTGATATAAGGCGCGTGTATAATAATATTGCATATTTAAACATATATTATTAAATATATTCAGAATCAAGCAATAATTAAAATTAATATATGTAGTGAACCATAAATTTGTATATTTTTTCAAATATTTCATAAGCCTAAATAATACCATATATGATTTAGAATATTTTAATATAATAGTCATTAATTAAAATTAAAAAAAAAAAAGATATAAATAAAAGTGAGCCTTTTTGAAGGGGCCTGACGTGTACTAGGTTGAGGTGCTCTAGTTGAGCCATGACGAGCCTGGGGCTTTTTTGGAACCTAAGTGTGCCTTTAGCAACTATGCATGGAAATAATAAGTCCTTTTCCCGTAAAACAAGGGAATCCACCATTTCAGTGTAAATACTATATAAATACATAAACCAACATTGCAACCACCACGAGTATTTTGCAGACCTAGAAAAGAACTAGTAATTAAAAGATATAGCCACTCAAATGTAACTATGAAGCAAATCTTTTGGTTGTCAAAATTTTAAAAATTAAAGCATATTTCATAACATTACAGATGAGAAACAAAATTATGAAATTTTCCTAGATGTGACAAAGTCAACAAAGAAAGCTGATGTGATCTTCAAAAAATACAAGACAATCTTACCTCTTCTCATACTGTATCAGCCACCAAAAAACCTCATTGAAGTGATTAGAGAATTATTTTTTAGATAGCAGACCTTAAATGTTGCCAGATCATTCTGATAGAAACTCAAATACACCATATTGTTAGTTCTCTGCTGTTGCCAGCATATCTTCCATTTACTCGCATCTTTGATTCCACATTGTCATACAATCCAGTATTGAATCCTTGAAATCCTACCTCACCCTTGTACGCTTTGATTACCTCAGGAGTTACCTCCTTATACTTGGTCAAAAACCTGGTCTCAAAAACCTTCTTGTTACAATTCAACACTGAAACCACATCTACATCCTTCCCAATCAAACCCTTTGACATCAGAACTTGCAGAACTGAACACCTTGGAATGATTCTACTTTCCAAACTAGTTAGAAAAATATTTGGGCATTTAGCAATCTGTGATACTCTTAAGCCCGCCTTGTTTACGAAGAAATCCATCAGTTCCCTGATCTTCCTCTCTGAGGAAAGTATACATGCTGGTTGCAATTTGAATGCCGAGTAAAATTGGCTCTTTTTTTTTTCCATAACATTACAGATGAAACATAATTATGAAAATTTCCTACATGCGACAAAGTCGACAGAGAAATCTAATGCAATCTTACATCTTCTCATACTGTTTCAGCCACCAAAAAACCTCATTGAAGTGATTATAGAATTACTTCTTAGATGGCAGACCATAAATGCAGCCAAATCATTTTTATAGAAACTCAAATACACCATATTGTTAGTCCTCTGTTGTTCCCAGCATATCTTGCAGTTACCCACTTCTCTGATTCCACATTGTCCTAAAATCTAGTATTGAATCCTTTAAATCCTATCTCACCCTCGTACGCTTTGATTACCTCAGGAGCTACCTCCTTATACTTGGTTAGAAAACTGGTCTCAAAATACTTTTTGTTACAATTTAATGCCCAAACCACTTTGACCTCCTTCCTAATCAAACCCTTTGACATTAAAACTTGCAGAACAGAACATCTTGGAATGATTCTACTTTACAAACTAAATTTAAAAAGATATGGGCATTTAGCAATCTCTGATGCTCTTAACCCCGCCTTGTTTACAAAGAAATCCATGACTTTCCTAATCTTCTTCTTTGAGGAAATTATACACAGCAGTTCCAATTTGAATGCCGAATTAAAATCGCTTTCAGACCAACCAAAGCTCATATAAGCTTCCTTCTTCTTCTCCCAATTGAGTTTGCTAATTGCCAACATTGAACTAACAACCAATAAGTATGATCGAGTTTTGGGATCAAAACCCATTTCCTTAACTGCATCAGCAACCTCTTTAAATACATCAACACTCAACATTAGTGCGCAAGGCTTTAAGATGATTATTTTTCCAATATGGGATTCAGGAACACTATGAGCCCTCAAGGTGTAATAGATATTTGGCACCATAACTTTTTCAACATTGAACACGGCTACATCGTTTGAGCACAAATTAAATTCTCAATGGTCCTTATGTATCATTTAAGGAAATCACATGTGGGTTTGATTTGGTTTTCTAAACTGCTCCTTAACAAAGAATCCTAGGCAAATCAGGTCCTACAATACTTAAAGATTCAAAGTACTCAATTTTAGGTCTCAAAGTTCTCTCTGGATCAACCAAAATAAAATTTGGGTATGTAGAAATTAGGCGTGGAATGTGTTTTTCAGTGAAGGCACACAACCTTAGGAGCTCAAGAACCGAGTCCGGTTTCTCTGTGCTCTTAGTGTTGATCTTCTTAGAAGTTGAGATAGCAAATTCTAGAGACAACCGACATGACTTTGTGAGGTAAGAGATCGTGAAAGCTTGTTTCTCAGTGAAATTTGAGTTGTTTGCAATTGATTGGGTTTCAAAAAAATGATAAAATGTGGGTGTATTATGTTTGATTCTGTGAGTGTCGTATATGAAATGAAAGACAGGTGATAGAGACTTACAGGATCTGAAAGTCATAGTGTTAGAGCATCCGGGGCGCAACCCACTTTAGAGTGGCTTTGTGTCAGTGTAGAGAGAGAGGGGGTTAGTATGCAGTAGCAAGTAGAGGGCCTTTTTTGTGGGCCCTACAATTCCTCTCTATGGAGTTATCTGGAGTTATTTGCAGACAGAGAGGGCATTGGACAATTGGCTAAAATTTTTTTTGTTTGTATAATTGATTGTGTGGCTTCCGGCTTGATAGAGCGTGCCTTTTTCTGTGGGTCCTACAATTAAATTAATAAAATAATAAATAGAGAATGAGATAATTGAGTTTCACACCATAAAACATATGGATAAAAAAAAAAAAAAAAATTAGAGCACCACATCAACACTTTTTAGCTTATGTGGCACTCTACTTTTTAAAAAGTAGATAGATAACCTTGTATCCCCACATCACTTGCTCTTAGAGTGAATTAAATGTTGCCCTTTGTGCTGTGCAGCCTGTGCTTGATCTTCCATAAGTTTCACGACAAAACCCTAGCCCTAGGGAGAGTGACTCAGAAACACATATTCCTCTATTGTGAGGTCATAAGCTATGTCATGAGTCATAAGCCAATTTACCGCGTCCGCCTTGCCCCTATGGATTTAAAATCTTTTTTTTTTTTTTTTAACCTGGCAAAAAAAGAACGCCATATGGCATCTACATGGATCAAGCATTAACAGTCATCAACATCCATACAAGAACCACACACAACAGCAAAAACAAAAGTCAAAAGCTAGCTAGAAACTAACAACCAAGTCAAGATCATAGTCTTGGCAAATATGTATTATCATAAGTCAATTTACCACATCCGCCCCGCCTCTATTGAGATGGATTTAAAATCATTCCTAATAGGATGAGGTACAAATTTAAAAAGAGCATTTAAAAAGTGTCGTCTCAAACCCCACTCAATTAACAAATAAATATAAAATTTAATATTCTATAGATTGTAATATATATATATATATATATTATTAATATTTTTATACATTTTCATATCTGTTTAAATGAAAGAATGAAGTTTTTCAACTTTTTCTTAGTATTATTGAAAAAAAAAAAAAAAAATTCTTAAAGCACGTGTATTGGCCCCACAACACAAGCACCATTCATGTTAGAAGTGTGATTCAAAAGTGAAACCTTAAGGACTTACCATCCCTTGAAAGATTATTTATTAATTGTGTAGCCCATATGATTTGGACATGTGATATATTTCATTAATGAGTGGTTAAGTAAATAGATATCAGATTAATATTATATTATTTAGTCAACTAATAAATTACTTTTATGGTAATTAATTATTGGGGAAGTGTTTTCCTATTTATTGCTTACTTTAATGGAAAGTGGAATTACGGTTACTAAAAGAAAAACTGATTATCTCTCTACCTTTATAAAAGTGCATATTCCCATCAGTTACATACGCTAATGAAAATAACACATATAATGTTTATGTGTGCAAAAGGCCAAGAGAGAGAAATTGATTTCCACGTTTTGGCTATTGCAGTTTAGCATGTTGTTCGTTCCGCAGAAAGAATCTTGATATTTAGCTTAATCTCTATGAGATTTGCAATTATAGATCGAGATATTTATATCTAACTATTTATTTATACATTATAGATATGTAAGAATAATGAAGTTCTAAGATTTGGGATTCATGTTTATTTGTGATTAATGGCTTAACGCGAATAATTAAAGTTTACATGTGGTATCAGAGCCTAAGGTTTAGAGACTCATTATTTTTCTTTAATGTTGCATAAATAATATTTAATATATAATGATGATTGCATGATTAAATAATGTGTTGTTTTGAATCTGAAATGTGAATATGTTTTGATCAGTATTTTCCGTGGGTTTGTTTGGATCAAGTTTTGTGCACTGATTTTGGTTTTCATATATAGATTTTTGAATTTTATGTAATTGCATGAACGTCAATTACTTAATGATGCATGTATGCACATGTTTAATGAGATGAAGAAGTTTCCTTTTCGTACATGATTTTGAAAAGGAATATGTGTATTATTATATACTAATTTTAATATCATTATAGATGAATTTTATGGACACCAAACTAACTTAGGTATCTTGATTTCCAAGCCTGATTTAATTGCTGGAAGTTTTAATAGCAGCTTGTTGCTATTTGAAAGAAGCTCACTGTTTTACCAATTATTGTTTAATAATATGAATGATTTTATTTTTAATTATCTGAAAAATAATAAATAATTAAATACATAAAGTATATATATATATATATTTATTTTATTAGAAATTAGAATTTCTAGAATAATGTGTGAGTCTAGAAATTTGACGTCATTAGACATGCAAATAAATTATTGTTTAATACTCAAACATATATACATGATGGAGAATCAATTTTAGATTGATTCAATTATGATCTTTAAGTCCAAAAAATAAAAAAGTCCAAAAATAAAAATACTACCTCTGTCCCTTAATAATAGTCTAATTTTCTATTTCACACTTTTTGAGACAACAACTTTTATTATATTTTATTGGGTTGGCAAAAAATGTATTTGCAAGTTTACCCTTCCCTAAAAAGTAGAGTATTGATTTTTAATGGGGTCCACTTATTTTTGAGTTTCAAAAGTAGTAGTATGGAAAATGAGGTCCACTTTCTTTTAGGGGTAAATTAGGAATATAATAAAAAGTAGTGTATTAATTTTTGAAATGTGACAACTAAAAAGGGACAGCAAAAAATGAGATAATGGACTATTAATATAGGACAGAGGGAGTAATATGTATTATCATGTATATAAAGTAAAATGATATTTTTATTAAATTTTTTGATTATTAAGTTTCTGGAATCAAACCTACCTAAATTTGGATCGATCATTATGAGTATGTGTGTATAATGTTAAATAGGTAACTTAATGATGAATTAATTATGTCTAATTTAATATTCATATTATGTGAGGGTTAGTAGCTGCCAAAGTGGTCCAATCATAATGATTGATGAATATTAATTTTGTAGTAGATATAATTAATGATAATGATAAATTAGTTACTAGCTAATTTAATATTCATATTATGTAAATGTTGGTAGCTACCAAAGTGGCCTAACCATAATGATTGGTGAATATTAATTTTAGTGGTAAACATAATTGCAATATTTCATGAATTATGATGCTTATGATTTTTTTTTTTTTTTTTTTGTGATATTCATGAATATTGAGTTTATTTAACTATGAAAAATAATTCCTCAAAGGGAATTGATTTTCAAGTAATTAAATAAAAATTAAGGGGTTATATGTATTTTTTAATTAGGTAGATATAGGATATCCAAAGGTAACTTATCTATTTAATTAAATAATGCATCACCAATGAAGATATACATATAAATACACGTAAGCATCATTATTAATATTTTATAGTTGCCACCTAAAAGGGTATTATAGTTATACATTGTATTTATATTTTTAAGTTATACATGCGTATTGTTAACTTAAAGCATTATTGTTGTGAGAATTTTATCTTATTATGTTTCTTTATTACATCCCTTAATTCACATGCTACATCTGTTTTGATTCTCAATAGGACAAACTTCTCATAATGGAATGAGTAAGTTAAGCATTATGGTTATGCGAATAATTATTGCACATAGTGATAGTGCTAAGGAATATTTGACTATAAGAATGTTTTCGTATTGTAAATAAATATCTAAAAAACGAAAATTATTGATTGATATCACTACTGTGCATTTTTTGTTGGTACTAGTACCATGTATGAACATAATTTTGAAATGACTAATGTTGCTACAAAATTGAGAACCTTAGGGATGATTGTAGATGAGAATTTTCTCGTTCAATTTATTCTCAATTTTTTATTTACTCAGTATGGGTCATTTCAAATTAATGCTATTAAGACAAGTGAAAAGTTAAATAATTGACCATTATGTTAATTTAGGAGTCAACTAGGTTTAAACAGCATGGTAATCATTATGTTCATCTGATAACTCAAGAAATTAGAAAAGAATTTGGGAATAAGCCTGAAAAGGCATTAAGTGAGCAACACCCAAAATTAAAAGATTTAGGTCAATCTACTAAAAGAAATGAATGTAATAATGAAAAAGTGTCATTTATGTATTGAACATTTTTAGAAAGATTACATGAAACATAAAGAACGATTCGAAAAAGAATAGTAAGCTTTTGGCTTTCGTATATTTCGAATTACTTATTGAAATGCTTTCTAATACATGATAGGTTGACTTAAGTACTAATATTTATGTTTCTAATAGATGCAAGGATTTCTTATTCCTAAATCACAAATTCAAATTCAAATTTCTTATTTATGAGAATTGGGATAAAGTTGTAATACTCCTGATTTTAAAAGGATAGTCTCGGTATTATTTTAATTGTTTTAATTACATTTTAATTGTTTATTTGATTTCTTGACTAATTGTTTACTTATTTAATTGATTTAATTGTTTATGTGTTAATTGAATTATTTGTTTAAATTAAATTGTGTGCTAAAATTATGTGTATTTGATTTATTTGTTTAATTTAAATGGTATGTGATGATATGGAGAAAAAGATGCGTCCACATTACATTTGATTTCTCCAGGTTGAATAAGGTCAATGATTTTAGAAAATTAGTCTTATAAACTACATAAACAATTATTACATGGAAAAAAAAAAAAAAATCCTCTCCAGTTGCTCTCTCACTTGATTGGTCCAGTGAGATATAAAAAAAGCCGACTTAGCAACTGAGTTAAATTCATATTTACCAAATTTCTAATATATACATACAACTTTTGTATATAACATATGTGTATCTATAGGAAGCGAAGTGAAAAAAAAAAAAAGTATGTATTAGTAAGGGGAAAAAAAAAAAAAAAGTGTTTTTTTTTTTTTTTTTGGGTTCAATCCTTCTTTTTAGAATTTAAGGTTAGGGGAGAAAGATTTAGTTTGTGGTGCAAGAATTAAAGTTGTTCAATTCAAGCGAATCCTACGGAACTAGAGTTCAAAATTTTCGATTTATAGAAGTTTTG